TCCGTTCCTCAGCCCGAAGTGCCTCGGAATCAAAGACGCAGACTTCGCATGGTTCACGGCCCTCAACGTCGCTGTCCGTACCCACAGGAACAGAGTCTACCTGTCACATCCCGACCGCACCCCGCGTACCGTTTTGCAAGACTACCAACACACCCTGCGTCTCGTTGCCGACGCCGAGTGGATTCTGCGGGAAGAACGGAGGACGCACCAATGGGCTCGGGACATTAATTCCACACTCCTGTGGGTATTATGCATGACGCACGACATCACCCACGACATGAGTGACGCATGGTATCTCTCCTCCGACGAGAAGCGGAATCAATGGCAAATCGTACGCGAGTTCACGAGGGCAGCGGGATGCCCGCCCAACATCATTTGGCAGGCGTCTTGTCTCGCTGCCCGCCTCTCGGGTAGTATTCAATTTGATGAGCAACGGTTCACCGTTACCAACTTCTCTCACGAGCAGCCCGTCCACCGCATCCTACGAGATGCATATCACCTCCAACGACTGGGCGCTGTGGGCGTGGCTCGATATTTCTATTTCCATGGTATGGATGAAGGATATAGGGAGCCTGGGGTTGGTTTTGATGTCAGTTGTCTGCGGCATATGCACGGCGGGCAGTACGTCGAGCGGTTCACGACAGAGACCGGGGCGGAAATGGCGCACAAGCGGTATATGTGGACGACAACGAAGTTTCTGAATGGGTGGGATGCTGAGAATGATGTGGGCTCTGTTGTGACGGGGCGAGGGTTCAGGTAGTGCTGGATATGTGGTGGTTCTAGTGGTATACACGGGGATGCATGGATTACTTCTCCTTCGAAGGAGCAAAATAGTCCTGACTTTCCGCGGCAATGAGACTCCTCTCCTGACTCTTCTCCTGTTTAGTCCTCTTCTTGCGCGTGAACAACCTTGCAATCTGACTCCACAATCTCACCCTCTCTTCCCTCTCCCCATCCTCCTCCTCCCTCGCCATATCCTTCGCCTTTCTGTCCACCTTATCAAATGTCCCCCTCGCCGTCGCCCCATGCGCCTTCAACAACCTCACCACCTCCTCTTTCTTCTCCGGCACCCTACAACCCCCCCTCTCTATAAGATCCAAAATAGGTAAGTCAAGACACCTCCCCTCATCGGCCACATGTCCCAGCTCCTCCAGACAATACCTCACCAGCTCGAGATCGCCAGCCACCGCCACCGCTGCTAACCCCACTACATCGCTTTCAATTCTGCAACATCAATCTCTCGTCTGCTCCTTCCTCTGCGGAGGGTACTCTACGGAGGTTTTGAAGAGGGACAGACCAGATGAGACGGCGAGGTTGTGTCGGTGCGCGGGCCAGTCTGGGGAAGCGTGTAAGACGGGTGTTGCGACGATTGTTTTCTCCGTTCCGTCTGCACTCTTGGTGAAAGGCATATCGACAAATGGAGGCTGTTGAAACTCAATTCTCTATTTGAAAAGTCCAGACACTTCAAATCAGCGGGCCTGTCATCGTCTTGCTAGCTGCTACAGCGTAGACAACTCCATCACCCAAGGCCCACTCTCTAACAGCAACGTCAAACCCAACACCACTATCATCCGCCCAGAAACACAAACCCACCCCCAAACGCATCGCCAAGCCCCTACCAACCGATCGCAATGTTGTCAAAGCCATGCAGCATCCCGTATTCCTCGCATGCTGCATCTCCCTTACTCAGATCTCTTGCTGCCAAAAATAGCATGCCGCAGGGCCGTCCAGCGTCGCTTCCAGCCGTTAGGGCCGCAACGGCAACCCACAAAGAGCTTACTGCTACCCCACCGCAATAACACGAAAGTCATGCTTTGGAAGGCCTGATTGCAAGGTGTTGCCGGAGATACGGTTCGTGTTGATGGCCTGGGATTAGTATGTGTTTTGGGGGCGAGGGATGGAGATGCGCGAGGGTGACGTGACGGGGGAACACAGACGTCATTTCCTTATGCGGTCTGACCGGAGCTTCAGAGATGGGATACCCCTTCCAACGCGACCGAGGCGACCGTCTCTTCCTTTACTGCGCAATCCCATTAACTTTCCCATTGTCACAGTTTTCCGCAATGCAACCCTACGCCGCACACGGCTCTCGTACGAAATCCGAGGACCCGTTGAGCGGCGAAATTGCTTTTCGTCACGAGCGCCCGCCGTTTAGGCCTCTGCGTAGTAAGCTCGTATTAGGACCGACCGGGCACACAGCTGTCCTAAGATCGACACCAGGATACGCTGCGCAGTGGATCTTAGGACGAAGATGAGTTTTCGTTCGTGTTGAGTGGAGCGATGCACTGATGGAAGGTCGTATCGAGGCCGTGCGGCTGCTGCAGGTACGGGAGGATGTGCAGCGAGGGAGGCGAATAGTCTCGTATTGGTTGTGGTCTTAAGAGGGCAATTTGCCCTTGTGTATAGGCCTCACTTTACTTACTCTAAGGCCTTGGTCTTGGTCCTGGTCTTTGCTTTTCCACACTCGTTTATTGGGGTAAGCTTACCTTGTCGGTCCGTTCGTTTGGTCCTTCTTCTTCCGGTGGTTTGGGATATACTACGCTCTTTCCTGGTTAACTTCGTCGACTGAACTCGAATTGCTGTCTTCTCAACGTCGCGATGAAGTTCCTCGTTTCCCTTACGGCAGGTCTGCTGTCCATTGGTGTGGCATCCGCCTCGCCAGCTGCGCCGCTGAACAAGAGAGCTGTTTCGACTGACGGAAGCTGCGGAGGAGCAAAGGGCTTCACTTGCAAGGGTTCTTCGTACGGTGACTGCTGCTCTCAGTATGGATGGTGCGGAAAGTCAGCAGATCATTGCGGAGCTACCTGCAACTCAGCTTTCGGCACATGCACTGGTAGCACTACGTCAAAAGCAACTCCAGTAACGGTCAAGACTTCGTCGACACAGGCCCCACCGCCGGCGTCAACACCGACGAAGAAAGTCTCACCAGATGCGACATGTGGTGGCACAAAGGGTTACACATGTCTGGGTTTTGCTGAAGGCAACTGCTGCAGCGCGAGTGGCTGGTGTGGTTCGACATCGGCATACGTGAGTACTCACCTACGCTTTGAAGGAAAATATACTGATTTTGGCAGTGTGGAACTGGATGCCAGGCAGGCTTCGGAAACTGTGGCAGCAACACCGGATCAGGATCTACCACCAGCAAGATTTCTTCAGCGGCACCATCGTCAGCGCCATCGTCAGCACCATCTGGATCTGCTCTCCAATGTTTGAACGGAAAGGATGTGCCGTACAAGATGACCTCGGATGCTGAGTACTCTGAGCTTTCCGAGCCCTACAACCTGCGCGTACCTTTCAAGCCAGCCGTCATTGTTCTTCCCACCACCGACCAGCACGTTCAAGATGCCGTAGTGTGCGCTGCTCAAGCTGGTCTCAAGGTTCAGGCCAAGTCCGGCGGTCACTCTTACGCAAGCTTCAGCTCCGGTGGCAAGGATGGCGCTATGCAGATCAACCTCCAGTCTTTCCAGACCATTCAACTAGACAAGAGCTCTGGTATTGCAACAGTCGGAGGAGGTGTTCGCCTGGGCAACCTAGGTGACGGTATCTACACTCAAGGCAACGCTGCCGTAGCCCAGGGTACCTGCCCTGGTGTCGGTATCGGAGGCCACTACACACACGGCGGCTACGGCCACACCTCTCGCCACTGGGGATTAGCCATGGATCAAGTTGTCGGAGCCGACGTCGTCCTCGCCGATGGATCTCTCATCAAGGCCTCATCCACGGAGTCCCCCGACATCTTCTGGGCCATCAAGGGCGCAGCCGAGTCCTTCGGTGTCGTCACAAAGTTCTACCTCCAGACCCACGCCGCCCCCGCCAGCATCACATACTTCGAGTTCGGCTTCACCGGCATCCACGACTCCAAGAGCGTGTGGACAAACACCTTCATGCACATCCAGGACGTCGCCAAGAACGCGTCCGTCGTCGACAACCGCGTCTCCTTCGGCATCTACCTCGACAACTACGGCGGCTACAGCCTCAGCGGCGCCTTCTTCGGCAGCGTCTCGGAATTCAACACACAAGTCAAGCCCGAGCTGCTCCGCAGTCTCCCCAACCCCACCGCCACCGTCCAGTCCATGGCCTGGTACGACTACATGGTCAAAGTATCCGGCAAGACCAGCATCAAGGAGCCTCTAACCGGGTACGACGAGCATGAGGACTTCTTCGCCAAGTCCGTCACCGTCCCCGAGTCTACCGGTCTCACTTCCAACGCTCTGGACGCGCTGTACGATTACCTACAGACAGCCGACGGAACAGAATACTACATCATCATCAACCTCTACGGCGGCCCCGGCTCCGCTATCAACAGCAAAGGCACTGAGTTTGCTGCCTACAGCGATAGGGATAGTCTGTGGGTGTTGCAGAACTATGGCTATGGAGGTGATTCCATGGAGTTTATTAATGGCATTAATAGTGCTATTATCGATGCGCAGCCGCAGACGTCGTTTGGCGCGTATTTGAACTATGTTGATCCGAGTTATGATGCTGCGACGGCGCATACGCTTTACTATGGCGATGCGGTGTACAGTAGGCTGGCGGCGCTGAAGCAAAAGGTTGATCCGAAGAGCGTGTTCTGGAATCCTCAGGCTATTGGTGCTTAGGAGTGGGGTGGTTGTGGGATGGGTAATGGGTGTTTGGGCGTTTTTGCATGGGAAGAGCTCCTCATGTATGTTGGGTTATGTATACGTGTATGATTGGTTCTAGTAATGAGACTATTGCAATACTTACGATCCCGTCTATATGCTGCTATATGTATGTCTACAGATAGTTGCGCTATGCCCGTGAGGCTCAAATCGCATGCCATCTCGCAAAGCAGCACACACTGAAATTCTATTGTTCGTGCTGCACTACAGAAAGCGGAAGAGGTAAAGACAGTATGTTATTCAGTATGAAACTACAGATACAGATGGAAAAGAAAGAATCAAGGTCGGTCCATCTCGCTAATCACGCCTGGCAGTGGATGTTGAATCCCGCACCGCCCCCCTCAAACCACCTCAAACCACCTAACAAAAGCTTCCACCGTTCGACACAGTGTACCCATAGCCAGCCTTGAACTGGGGGAAAGAATAGTACCCTTCCACATCAGAGCCGCATGCACCCGCAATCTTGCCGTAAAGCGTGGCCATCATATCCTTGTTGCAGCCCTGATCCCCGCCGTAGGAGCAGCCATACGCAACGACGCCGTTGTAGTAAAAGGCTTTCGAGCGACCGGACCACTTGGTGCCGCCGCCGCAGAAGTTGATCCATTGGTTCGAGGCTTGCTGGATGTCGGAGGTGCTGAGCCGCTTGGTGCCGCAGCCTGGGCCCTCGTTGTCGCGGGCGAGGAGGTTGCGCGCGTGGTAGGCGGAGGTGGTGTCGGCGGCGTCGACGAGGGTGAATTGTGTGGAGCCGTCTTCGTTGAGGTCGACGTCGTACATGCCGTTGGGGAGTCCGGCGGCGGGGATGGTGTAAAGGCCCTTGGCTTCGGGCTGGGGAGCTGGCACTGCGGCGCTGAGGGTGGCTGAGAAGAGACCAGCGAGGATGAGACTGTAATGAACCATGGTGACGGTTTTGAAGAGATTGATGAGGAGTTGAGCAGGCTAAGTGAGAAGCTGATTGAGATGAGAATCTGTTGATTTTGGAGTGTGTTTGTTGAAACTGTTGGAGCTGTTGGGTTTATGGCCAAAGATTGAGCCTTCTTATACCTGTCGAGACGCTTTGAAGAGAGCCCTAGAGGCTCATCAGATGACGAGGACGTGAGGTTGTGGTAAATCTCCTATTCTGTTCATCTTCGGAGTCTTCGTGTACGCACGATCATCTTTGTGTCGCAATCTAGTCTATATTTTGAACCGATGTCCTCTGTATATCAGTCAGTAGGTAGCTATAGATAGTCGAGTTGGTCATCTACCAAGAATCTCGCAGCCCATGGGTTGTGAAGACTACCTAGGTAGGCTGAGAAGGCGTTGCCAAGCACTTCCAAGCTTTCAGCACACCTGGGCAGGCTGGATGCGATCAAAGATGATCGACGCAATATAGACGTGTAACTCTCCTAGAACAATGATTGGCTTGTATGATGCCTACACAGAGCTAGGTACCGATCGAGAAAGAGTAAGCAGAGAGAGCCGCGTGCCTGTATTAGCCTTGCCCAGGTGCCAAGCTACCTAAGCTTACCGCGCGATCTCCGTACGAGGACATAGAGCGACAGCACATTGCAAAAGCGATGATTTTATCAATGGAAGTGGTAGATGTCTACTTCTGTGAGGTGACTGCGGCTTCATTTATCCAGCTGCGGGGAGGGTTTCGGCAGCCCCACCTGACGTATGTAGCTTAGCGCTACCGTATCTCGAATGCTGTGCGTATGCCCATCCTAAAGACCAGCCTTGCGCCGGGATCAGAGGTTCTACAAGGTGTTTGGTGTTGTCCTCAATTCGCATCGCTGTCAGCGCCACTGGTACGCGAGACATCCATGGAAACCTTCCTGCCCCAGTGCGATGAAGTCTGCACCAAGCACGACACAAATGGAACGGATCTGTAACCCCGCTTCAAATCGACAGTGTTACTCCATGCCTACTATACGTCCTAAATATTGGTGCTGCATACATCTCATACGTTCCTGGTATTCGATGAGGGCGTGTCGAATGATTGTAGCGGCAAAATGACCATGAATTGACTCTACTTCTCAACGGTGTGGCATCGCCGCATCATTCCTCCGTCCTGACAGCAGGGCCATCTGCTTTAACCGACTGATCATGAAGCTCATGGACAGTATTCGCTTCCATCTCATATCTCAAAGGCAAGACCTCAGGCACAATCGCGGGCTTATCTTCAAGCTCCCCTCCCAATTGCTCAAAACCCTTCCCATGCGGTTGACCAAGCTCCAGTATGTGATTTGATGGCGCTTCGTACACATCCCCGTTAGCATCATGGCCATCTCTGTCGGGATCATACTGTTCAGTTTCGGTAACTGGTAATTGGTGTGATACCCTTCTTCTCTTTTTCTGAAGACGGCGAAAGAGCAGCCAGCCTGCTGCTATTCCGAGGGCGAGCGTCGCAGGTATAGCTATGCCAAGACCGATTTTGTGGCCGAGTTGGAAGTCGTTATGCATGTGCTGGTGGACCTCTTGGTCGTGAGGGTTCGATGGATCCGCGTTCGTGCTTGTTGGAGTGTTCGCGGTAGAGCTTGTTGGTGTGCTCGCCGAACCTGTATCCGATTCCGTACCTAGCGTGCCAGATACTCTTGATGCCGACGTTGAAGCCGACGCTGAAGCCGCAGTCGACAATCCTTCTGGTGACCAAAACGACCGCGTCGGCGTAGTAGAAGAAGCCACCGCCTCAGACGACGCACCACTCCCCGCGATAAACCCATCCACAATATTAAAATACTGACTAGTATCCGAATCCCCATCCACCGAAAAAACACTAAGAAAGAACAGCGTCGACTCCTCCAGCCTCGCGTTCGTCTTGACATTCCACAGATAACTCGTTCTATTCACGATGCTCGCTGGGGTTCACATGTTAGCTTTTCTTCTGGAAATAAGCTTGGAAGCCACGGAACAGAGCGGCCCTTCATACGCATGATGAACTTACGCATGACGAACTCGCCGTCTCCGGTCTGGTCCTGGCCGAGGGTTTTGACTTGGTGCAAGACTAGGTCGTAGGGCCCGGTTTCGTCGCCGGGGTACCATTGGATGTTTATGGCGTAGTCTTGCTTGTAGGTGGGCGGGTTGCTGAGGCCGCCGTCTGTGCCGTGGGTTGGGGGGTTGATGAATTGGATGCCGAGACTGGATACAAGTGGGGATAGTATGGCTAGCAAAGCGTATGCTGTTAGCAAAGCCATGACTGACTGGGCTATCTCCAGAGAGTAGACAATTGCGAGACTGATGATTCCGTAGCAGTACTTGAGTGGAACGAGTGATGGTAAACAGCGAGAGACAAGAAACACACGCTGAATGAGATCAGAAGCTGGCACTTGTGCGAAGCGATCGCATGTAGTAACATGGCTCAGACTCCGCTTCTCTCATTCCTCTTGTTCCAGCAGCGAGAGGCGTAGGGTGCAACAGCGCCTTGCCACGATGCGCCCCTCGTGCTGAAACTTCTTTGTACTCATCGGTTTTGGGTGTCAGCCCAGGGTCGACATGATGCAGCCGCCATGATAACTGGAGCAAGCCATAAAATACTAGAGTATGAATACGAGAGATACTTGTAAGTCTGTTCGGGGCCGACAGATGTTCGCACGGGGGTCCAACAGTTGAAAGGGTCCCCAACATTAGCCGTGATCTTAGATCATCAACCCCAACAGACCCATGTATCAGCGCTACCGTGCCACATCAAGCGAGATGTGATAACAGAAAGTTAAGCGCCACACACTCAGCGCAGGGTGAATAATTAGAAGTGTAACCGCCCCTAAAGTCTGTGAGCTGCAGGTACCGGTCTCACTGCGGCGTTCGCCCACCATTTGTATAAGGATCGCCCCTCCGTGGCGCTTTGCGATCTCGTGCCCTCCTCTTTGTCTTTCCCCCTTTGTTGGCTTTTCCCACCATGTCACTGTCGCTACCCAAAGTCTTCAATCATTACACACTGATCGCGCTATGCACATTAGCGTTGGTTTACCACTTCCTCTCCATACAAGACCACTTCACTGTCCGTGCGCCGGGTACGCCCGCGATAGCGCAGCCACCGCAAATCGGCGGGTTTCCTAAACGCATTTGGTACAAGTTGGGCCCTAATGGCCTTTCTGAAGAGACGCGAGCTTGGACCGATAGCTGTGTGAATAGCAATCCTGACTATCAAGCACATTTCTTGACGGACGACGACGGCGATGAATACGTTCGTAAGACGTTTGCGGAGTCCCGACCGGATATCGTCGACGCCTACCTCGCGTTACCCGTCCCTATCTACAAAGCCGACATGCTGCGCTATGTCTTGCTGTGGAACGAAGGCGGAATCTGGTCCGACCTAGACGTCTCTTGCGAAGAGGGTGTATCCATGGACGAATGGGTGCCATCCGCATACCAAGGAATCGCTTCACTAGTCGTAGGCTGGGAGTTCGATCAAGGCTGGCCCGGCGAATACGTCCGCGAATTCGCCAGCTGGACGATAATGGCCAAACCACGATCGCCACACATGATGCAGGTCATCGAGGATATCCTTCAGACACTGCGAGACAAGACGGCGGAGCACCAAATCCCGATCCAGAACGCGACAATGGATATCATGGGGGATGTTGTTGATTTTACTGGTCCTCGGCGCTTGACGCGCAGTGTGTATACGAGCTTGGGGAAGATACTTGATAGGGAGATTGACGCGCGCGATATGATGGAGCTTGTGCAGCCGAAGCTGGTGGGCGATGTCTTGGTCATGCCGGGTCGTTCGTTTGCTGCGTCTGCGAATACGTATAAACCGGAAGAAGAAGCGCTTTTGCCGCCAAAGCTGGTTACGCATCATTATGCTGGGACTTGGAAGAACGACAATGGGGGCGAGCAATAGGAAAAGAACAACTCGGCAGGCTTTAAAAGGACACCAGAAACGCATCCATGAGTACGGTCGTGGAGTGATGGAGAGGCTTCCATTACGCCGCCTGATGGCGAATTATCTGGTCATCATCGATTTGTTACATGCTTTCCCAGGGTTCCACCGCCGTTTCCAACACCGGTGTCGTATTCGAACGGCAGGCACGACATGATACGTGACCGTATCGGCCGCGTTGATAGACTTCCGCATTCTGGCTGTAACAAGACCTCTCCCGGTACTGAGGCTTGACCTCCACGACAACTTCGTACCGAACAACCATCCCAGTCCTCTTACCAGGGGCGACAACACTTGCAGTGACCGGCACAGCCACGCTTTTCGAAGCGTCCATTATACCGATAGTTCAAGTGCCTTGGACCTCGGTAGCAACTAAAGACAATAACGTTCTCTCGGGCAAGGTTTGCGTAGATCTCTAAGCCAGCCTTCAGTGGGTGCCACTTGCCTCCGTCGATCCTGGCAGCTTCGTAGCGGGCTTCACGGTTGACGAAGAAGAGTGAAGGGTAGCCTCGGAGGCTTTGTGCGATGACCTCGTCCTCCTGGTGAATGCGGATCTCATCGGTAAAGTTAACTTCGGTGCTGTCAACGTATTCTATCTGGCTGTGTAGCGCGATAGCCCACACCCTGGCGCGAAGTTCTGCGGGCAGGCGGGGGAATAGATGGAAGGCCCGTGTAGTGGGTGTTTTCGACCATTGGGACGGCCGAGAGAATCGTTCTAGCAGTACCACTGTATCGTCATCCGAATCGCTCTCAAGGCCATACTGTGTCGACATGATGTTGACGAAGATGTATCGTTGGGAAGGCGGGTGGAATAGCGAAGGTGGTCTGTCCGCGGATGGAGACGCTTGTTGATTGCTCTTGAGCGAAGACAATGTAAACCCGAAGAGTCGTAGAAAGTGTAGAGAATGCGAAAGCTTACGTAGCGAAATTATCCCCCCCAACGGCCAAGGCAGACGCGTTTGCTTGGTGTTGACGTGATGCCAAGCCTTACCTAGTATTTCACCATGGACCTTGAGGTGCGCCTTTGCGTACCACAGACGAGTAGAGATCATCTGGGGCAACGATAATAACGCTTACTCGGCGCTGAGTTCGAGATGAATGTCTAGCTCTTCGTGCTCGCCGTCAAAGTCAATTGATCAAGTAGCTTCTTGAGTGACCTCCGCACCCATCGTGAAGTGTCGCGGTTGAGGCCCCAAGAGCAGGTCAAAGAGCAGGTCAACAAGTAATCATACCGCGCAGACCATTCTCCGTAAACTCGAAGCAAGAATGATTGAGCAAAAAAGCAAAAAAAGCTATGAATCTCAACCATGAAGTGAAGAAACGTTGGTGTCCTCCCCCCCAACCCTGCTGACGCACCCACCCGCAAAATCCCGCGCACCCTGATTCGTCCACCTTTCCCAGCGCCGCCAAGCCCAGCATTCCCGCGCTTTCTCTGCCGCAACAACCTCACCAGACATCACGCCAGACATCACCCTTCCACCCGCGTTTAAACCCCAACGAACTCGCCAAAGATGTCTGTTTCATCCTTCGGCCACCACGGCAAGACGCCCGCTGCTGTCGTAAGTCGAGTCCCGTGCAATGGGGGAATTGGAGGCGATGACGAAAGAAGAAGGATGAAGCTAATGATTGGGAATAGAGCATGCGCAGCCCGTACAAGGCTTACAGGAGTCCTTTTGGTCCTCAGTATGTATTTTCCGGTATCGACAAAGCTATGGGAGGGGCGGTGGAAGGGTTGGGATTGGGTTGGGGGTTGTTGGGAAGGTGTGGGAAGAGGAGGATGGCTTGCGACGCCTCGATGGACGGCAGTATGGGCAATTGGATGCCACGCATACGCTCGAGATACGCATGGAAAAGAGGAGGAACAACGCAACCCACACCCACACCCGCCGCCCTACCCGATTTACGCCCATCGCAACCTCGAAGCTCCAGACGCTAACATACAACCACAGATACACCATCCCGAAGAACTACCACGGCCTCACCCTCAAGCAGGCCGCGAAATAGTACGTCTTCCTCCCCATATCCCACTCCTTCCTCCCCTCCCCTCCCCTCCCTCCACCCATCCAACCCATACAACACGCACTAACCCCATCCACAGCGGTGGCCTCGCCGCCGGCTTCGGCGGTGTAGCCGGATTCTTCGCCCTCTTCTTCTTCGCCGAAGTCCCCAAGGTGCGCGACGACATCATGAAGAAGATTCCCATCCTGGACAAGTTCTTCACGGTCGAGATACCGCCTGAGGATAACCCTTTCTGAGCGTTCGGGCGCATGGACTGGACTGGACTGGACTGTATAATATGGGGACAATTGGCATTGCAGACAGGGAAATAGACCGCTTTTGTCTTTGTTGACATATTTGATATGCTTGGGGTGACTGTGTTTGTGATGATGTGGTGTGGTCATGGCTTGGATATGTTGAGGTTTGCACACGTGCTTTATCGTATTTTGATTCAGGGCCTGCTCAGTTGCCAGACGTCACCACAGACTCGTTGACGCCGTATGACAGTTCGCCACTCAGAGCTCCCAGATATTTGGTCATTGCTTCATTTTCGCGTGACTCTTACATCTATCAAGATGCTATCATATGCCATCCCATATACCACTTTCCACAGCCATCCTCTCATCCCCCCATCAATCGCTTAGTTCGTCGGCAGCCTTCCAACAACCTCAGCCATCTCCTCGTCAGTGTAGATCCTGAAGCCCTTGTCCTTGGTCACACTAGCCAACTGCACATTCTTGCTATCCAGCTTCTCCTCCATGACCTGCTTGAGCGTCTTGAGCGTGAGCACCTCGGCCTCGGGGAGCGTAAGCGACTTGTGGAATTCGTTCTGGAGTTCGGCTTGGGCGCCCTCGGAACCGGAGCCGATGGCTTTGGCGTCGTAGCGGTAGAATGTGCCTGAGGGTTCGGCGTGGTAGCTGTGTGTTGTTAGTTTGTAATCCCAATTCTGGAGCTAGAGCTAGGTTCGTTGTATGTTTTCGGAGAGGGGTTAGTAAGGAAGGATTGGGAGTGACATACAGACTCGGACCATCCTCATCATAACCCGCAATCAACAGCGCGACACCAAACGGCCGACTCATGATGCTCTCCTCACCCTCAGCACCCTCACCAAACCTCAGCGCCAAATCACATATCGCCTGCGTGCAGCTCTCAACGCGAAGTGGCTCGGCGTAGTTGAAAGCGTGGTTCTGGCTCTCGACACGCGCGTGCTCGATCATGCTGCGGGCATCGGCTTGCAGACCCGACATGGCACATCCGATGTGGCGGTCGATTTCGACAATCTTCTCTACGGAGCTGGTCTCGAGGAGCGTGGAGGTGACGCGCTTCTCTACGCCGAGGATTACGCCTTCGCCTGTTGCGACCTGTGTGTTGTTTGTGAGTTTACGAAGGTTGGTGACGGGAGGGGCGGACGTACGCCTATTGCTGTTGAACCGAGCTTGATGGCTTCGAGCGAGTATTCGACTTGGAAGAGACGGCCTTCGGGCGAGAAGGTGCTGTGGGTTTGTGAGCGGGCGATCTGGTAGTGGGAGGCGCGGGGTGGACGAACTTGATACCACGGTCTAGAGGTTGAGTTAGTATAGATTCTACTGTATAATTGTTTGAAAGAGCTTACCATATTCGCTTCGTGCTATGAACTGCTCATGTCAGTACAAGAGCTCCAGCGGGGTTCAATGAGGCGTACCATGGCGGCTGTTTGTGCGGAAGTGTGTTTGAGAGGTGTGGTGAGAGTTCCGAGTGCTTCTCGAACAGGGAAGTCGAGATCTGGGAAGTGTAGGCGGCGGTGAGGTGTTGCGGAGTTGTGTTGGCGGCTTGGATGTTTCTCTAGCTATGGAGAGCTTCAGGCAACATGAGCCGCGCGCTAGGGCGGGATGCCAAGACTTCCATCTGATACTCATCATCACTTTCTTAACACAACTAGCAAATACATCTAAGTCTACAGTCACAACGTTGCGCAGATCTCCGAAAGCTGACACCCAACAAGCTATGGTGGTTTTCGCAATCGCATCCATCGGCTGCCCTCTATCGCGACATCATCTGCCACCTCCTTCCAGAGACTACCTAGGTACTGGAAAAGTAGCTCATCGTTTCTTGTCACCAAGCGATATTACGTCTGAGGTATTGTTGCGAAAGAATTGATTCTCCCGAAGCGTTCTCTCCATATTCGAACAAACAATTCCTTATTGCGTTCTGCGCAACTTTTGGGTAATACAATCGTAGTACGCAGATGCTGCTGAGCTTTAGAGTCGATGTAGTCGTGGTGCTACACCTATTGAACGATGTGTATCGCAGTCCAGTTTCACCAAACTCATGTTGTCAACCTGAACGGAGTAATCTTGGCCATATACGCCTGAGGGTAAGATGATGAGGTGTCTCAGTACCAGTCGTACGGCCAGGTAAAGTCAAGTGGCTATGCAGATACTCTGCTCAACCTCGACGCAGGTATCTGCTTATGCCAGAATCACATCGTCCCTAATTTCGGAGAGCTTCTCGTTGGGTACCGTGCGCGAGGCTAGATTCCCGATAGAACACGGGAATGTCTGCAAGCGACCTCACAGCCACGATATCCACCCGTTATCTACCAGACTCTGCGTCGTCGCAGAATGCTCCGAGTGCCTAATCGATTAAACAAGCTTCCATCGACATATCGAAGCTGTGGTAGGGGTAAAGCTTAGCGTACCGATTCGTGACATTGGCGCATGGCGCCGGGACGAAACGCCTTCCAAGACATCAAACCGCTGGAGTAATTCTCCGCATCTTCTACCTCTCCTACATCAACTTCGGTTCTTTGCCTGAACTTCAAATTCTTGCCTCCCGCATCCGCGGATCGAAAGCCGATGATGCGCGTCATAGCTCGGATCGAATGTGCCTGGCGTCGGCACCGTTTCTCCTGAGTTCGGACCAGCAGCGCTATCCACGTCACCATATTCTGGAATCTCGGCCTGCGACCATGATGGATGGTGCATCCGGTGCTGTCAACAACAAGCTCATAACCACAGTAGTGCGCAACGCCAACGGACAACACGGGGCCATGTGTCTACCACAAAATCGCATGAGAGTGTCGCACTCGTGTTAATGCACAAACTATTGACCTGAACAGCCACAGAGATGTCGACGATTTTCGATAAATTCGCGTGTGCCATGTTGCACGCACATCATGAGATGTGCAGCTCATCTCCCGCGGCGGGGATGATGTCGATGCTGGGTTATTTTTATCCGGATACGACCCTATGTCGGGGCTTGACGTCGCTGTCTGGCCGTTGAGTATTGCTTCTCCACATGGGCCAATGATTAGCGAGGACGGGGCGAAAGGGTCGTTCCCTGTCTTGCCGCATCGGGCCTTCTAGAATGCTTGGTGAGCTTCAACCGTCGACGACTGCGATGAAAGCAGCAACGAACGAAGGATGCGAATGTTGGGAATGGTATTAGGAGACTGTTGTTGAAGAGTCTGCATGCCAAGATTGCTTGACCAGGCTTCAGGGTTGGGATCACCGCCGGCATCCGCGTTCCTGCGTGCCTGCTCGTTCGAGAAGGCACTAATTAGCTGTGACCGTGCGGCTAATGCACGTCCGATGAATAGCCTTCAGACGGCAGCGACGTCTAGATCCAGCAAAACGTCACCGGCGAATAAATACTTCGCTGCGTCCTGCTCACCATTCCTCGCCCACGCCGCTCTCTCGCACCCTTCTCTCTTCTCAAGACTTCATTCTACGCTTTTAATATCGTCTTCTTCCTCCTAATACCACCACCATGCGCGTCTCCTCCACCATCCTCGCCGCGGCAGGTCTCTTGACCTCGGCCAACGCTGCCATCAAGGGCTTCAACTACGGCGCCAACTTCAACAACAACCAGGCCAAGGTGCAGGCCGACTTTGAATATGAATTCAACGCCGCCAAGCAGCTTCCTGGCACCAATGGGTGGACCAGCGCCCGTCTGTACACCATGATCCAGCACGGCACCCAGACCGACGTCATTGAAGCCATCCAGGCTGCCATCAACACCAAGACCGGTCTCCTCCTCGGCATGTGGGCTTCCGCCGGTCAGGCCAACTTCAACAACGAGATTACTGCTCTCAAGGCCGCCATTGCTCGTTACGGCACTGCCTTCACTGACCTCGTTGAGGGTATCTCCGTGGGCAGTGAGGATCTCTACCGTGTCACCCCCACTGGTATCGAGAACAAGTCCGGCGCTGGTGCTCAGCCCCAGGAGCTCGTCAACTACATCAAGCAGACTCGTGATGCTATCCGCGGTACTGCTCTCCAGGGCAAACCCATCGGTCACGTCGACACCTGGACTGTCTACGTCAACGCTACCAACAACCCCGTCATTGAGGCCGTTGACTTCATCGGCATGGACGCCTACCCCTACTTCCAGACCACCATGAACAACAACGTCGGTTCGGGCAGCCAGCTCTTCTTCGACGCCTACCACCAGACTGTTGCCGCTGCCAAGGGCAAGCCCGTCTGGGTTACCGAGACCGGATGGCCCGTTAGCGGCGAGACACTCAACCAGGGTAAGCCCAGTGCGGATAATGCCCGCATCTACTGGGAGGACGTTACCTGCCAGCTCGTCAAGGACAACGTCAACCTGTGGTACTACATCCTCCAGGATGTCCAGTACGGCAACCCCGTCCCCTCGTTCGGCATCAAGCCTGCGGGTGACCTCATGCAGGTGAAGCCTTTGTTCGACCTTTCTTGCCCTGCGGGTTCCGCACCCAGCAACCCGTCCAAGAAGGTCTCTACCGATGGCACCTGCGGATCCCAGGGAGGTGCTACTTGCGCTGGCTCGCCATTCGGTAACTGCTGCTCGCAGTACGGATGGTGCGGAAACACCGCCGGACACTGTGGTACCGGCTGCCAGAGCGGATCTGGCACTTGCACCAAGGTAAGCTAGTACTTTCCAATGCTCCTCTTGTCACCTATCCTGTCGTCGTTCCTGTATGCTGTGTCTGCGCTCTTGTCTGTTTCTTGCAATTGCCCTTGTTCCGTTTCCGCTCCGTACGGGGTTGCACGGACTAATGGCTATTGGAAGGAGCCTTGGAGCAGCAGCAGTATTGGGACGCCAACGGGGATTGGGTCGTCGAGTAAGAGGGCTGAGGGATTCCTAAGCCAAACAGTCAGAAGCTAACGTTGCCTAGTAAATGCTCCGACATCTCAGCCCACAATTGTCACCGTTCCAGTAATCAGCTTCGACCGCCCGACCCCGACAGTTCAGAGTTCAGCACCGCTTTCCGCTTCGTCCACTGGAATTGGTCTTGAAAATATCGAAGGCCTACCGCAACCAACCTTTACCTCTCTTCAAGAACCATTCGAATACCCCCATCAGCTCATCCCCATTGATAAGGCCGACCCTACCAAGGTGATTGGCAACGGATACACTGCCCAGCTATCACCTACCATCTCAACCGTCTTCGTTTACGATATTCGCCCTGAGTTCGCCGGCAAGACTTGTACTTTGGCTCTACACATGCCCCCGCCCTTTCCCATATCCGAAACAGCACCTATTCAAATTCGCACTCCGGGTGGTATCAGCGTATCTCGCCTCGCCAACCAAGTTCCCGATACTGTTTCCATGCAGAGTGTCGGCAACTCAAGTCTCGTCGGCGTCGTACAACTCATCGAGCCTGCTCATCAATACAACGTCGCTAGCTTTCCTTGCGAAGCCGGTCAACGGGTTAGTTACCAGGTGGATTCGATCAATGGGCTGGATATGAACTGGTTCCAGATGACTTACCCTGCTCTTGGGCTGTTCATGCTGGTTAGCTAGATCGGAAAGAGGTTATGTGGACTGGTGGCAACGTGGAAGACTGGGATGTCAACTGTATTATTACGAACCGAAAAGTCCTAGATCCTTTTAATGTAATGTATACACCAAGGATACGTATCTTGTTTATGTCGTCGTGTGATGTGCTACTAAACTGATCGTATTTAACGCATTGGTTAAGTACGATCAGTTTAGTAGCACGTTATAAGGGGATATGGGCATGAGCGGAAACAGGTGTATTGCTGCTATACAACTATTGTGCGTGTTGTCTACGCAGCCGCGTGGCTGGATTAGGGTTGGGGGTGAGGTAGTGAGATGTGGCTGACCCTGAGTTATCACCGTGAGATATCACCGTGAGATGTGGCTGACCGTGAGATATAACTGTAAGATATAACCGTGAGATGTAGCTAACTGTGAGATATAACCCTAAGATATAACTGTAAGATGTAGCTAACTATAAGATATAACTGTAAGATGTAGCTAACTGTAAGATATAACTCTAAGATATAACCGTAAGATGTAGCTAACCGTGAGATATAACTCTAAGATATAACTGTGAGATGTGGCTGACTGTGAGATATAACCGTGAGATATAACCGTGAGATGTGGCTGACCGTGAGATCTAATCCTGAGATATCATCGTGAGATATGACCGTAAGATGTGGCTGAAGGTGAGATATGCGATCTGAGACGTGTTTAACCGTGAGATATGCGATGTGAGATGTTGCTAAAGGTGCGGCAAGACGTGAAACATAGGCTCTGAGATATAGCTAACTGCGATCTTCTTGCATTAAACCAAAGTCGCTTGCGAGAAGACTGCTTGGGCTCGAGCGCGCGGGGCAGAAAAGGATAGCTAGCTGCGAGACAGGATGCGAGATGAGATACAAGACGTAGCTGGCTGAAAGAACAGCGTGCGCCTTTGGATGAGACTGCTGTCTAGTCTTGTTCGTGCTAGTTATTAAGATTGTACCTTGGTATACGGTGTAATTGCGGTAGCTTTGATGAAGTGGTAGCTCACCGTGAGATATGAGATTTGGGATTTGAGACGTAGCGAACCGTGAGATAAGGCGCACCGTGAGATGTGGCGCACCGTGAGATGTGGCGCACCATGAGGTGAGATATGAGATCTGAGATCTGAGATGATTGTATTGTCTACTCAACGACTTGAAGCTTGTAGTACTTCTTTACGGATTAAATTCACGAGAAAGTAGGCCCTCTGCCTACCTGCGCAGACGAGCGGCTTGGGCGATGGTTTCGGACTTAGCGGCCTGGAGACGAGCTACGACGATGAGATATGGGATGTGGCTGACGGTGAGATGTGGTTGACGGTGAGATATGGTTGACGGTGAGATATGGTCGACCGTGAGATGTGGCTGAGCGTGAGATGTGGCTGAGCGTGAGATATGGCTGAGCGTGAGATATGGCTGAGCGTGAGATGTGGCTCATCGTGATATGAGATATGAGATATGAGATATGAGATATGAGATATAAGATGAGATGATAAGCTTTGCCCGACCGCAAGGTACTTAGGTAGAGTTTGGTCTAGTAAGAGAAAAGTCCTGACGTCTTGAACCTCGCACTCGAATTACACGAGCTTAAGTTGACTATACAGAAGCTGTTCACATTCGATTTAACTTGATATCCTCAAAAGCATTCCAAAGCTAGCTACGTGCGAACCGGCGGGATGTTCTAGCAAGATGTCTTGCCGCCAGACACACTGCACGCAGCACCACCCTTGCATACCTATACGTCGTCATCAGCACACCACTCACACTCGCACAGTAAAGTAGAGAAGAGGCAAAACTTACGTTCTTGCACGCATACCACGTCTTTCCATCGGCGCAGCACCCTGTCTTGGATGGGCAGTATCCCCATTGGTTATTGGGGTCGCTGCCTTCGGCTAGTTGGGCGTGGTTGGTGGTGAAGTGCTCGTCGTGGTCGAAACATTGCTGTGGGGTGGGAGTGTTAGTTTGGGAGATGGAGATGCTTTTCATGATGGGGGAAGTGCGAGTTCGACTAGGACGGGGGCGTAGTCTTGAGTTGGGCTGGTTGGAAGGATTGGGAGGTACTTACCCAAGCGGAGACAGAGGCCGTGGCCGTGAAGAGGAGGATTAGGGTGGAGATCTGCATGATGATTTCGAGGTGTGTGGGAGGGCTGGACGTCGAGGTTTTGGAGATGTTCAGGTTGCAGACGGCGAGAATGGAGGTGATGATGGGCAGTCGACGAAGCCGTTCTTATCAACGGTGACCGAGTCAATATTAGCCATGTCTTCCTCCTACCGCTTGCTTCTAGGCCTGATGCAACTGAATAGATTGCAATCAGATCATCAGAAGACGCGCGCGAGCACCAGACGACACGAGGTTGCGGCTCTTTGAACGCAAGTGTCGGGCCGGACCCCTGTTTTGAACCACCTCCGCATGTTTGACGACGGCGTGGAAACCAAACAAGCTCATGTCTTCTCCACACTTGGCACTGCGGTGAAAGCTTTTTCCTACATTTTACGACGTCTCTTTCGCTTTCGCATGCGCATTGCTGATGTGTTCACCCTATCTTCTTGGTTTCTACCTCACCGCCGTTTCGCACGCACTGAACGTCGTTCCATCATAACCATCTTTCTGTCCACGCAATATAAATTGTCGGAGCTACAACCAATGACAGCTCAATGACAACTCGACAGATCGCTGCAAGCGAGGTAGTCTAGTCTGCACACAGTAGGTACGGCGTAATGCGCGGTTCAGCTCGTCGCGTGGTTCGGCGTTATGCGTGGTGCCGGCGCAATGCACGGAGCACTAATTTCACGACGTGTGTATCTGCACGAGGTGGAATTCCACCAGTAAATGCGACTTCAGGCTGGAATTGCAGAGAGGTCGTGGTCGTGTTGCTGTCGAAAGGGCTTGCATCGCCTCATACGAGGCAGAAAATGAATAGGGTAACGGGCGTGCTGCAGCCTGCGTTGATATTCCTCTCTCAGGGAGTCCCAGAGGTTTGGAGTATCTTGTGGTGTTCACGGAAAGATATTGAAATCAGTCGACAACGATCTCATCGCGGATGATCGTTACGACCCCGTATCGATGGATTCGCTCACCTATTCTCCAAAATTTCTGCCCAGGTTCCACAGAAAAGTGAAGAATTTGTCGTCTCAGTAGTTTTCATCGACGAATCGTCCAATAACTCGGGCGGGCGAATAGCAAGCACGGTGGACATGGCGGAATCGTTCATGGTAGTCGAGCGATACCCCAACAAAATAGCCGCGCTCTGCTCCCATCGTAGACTTATGTCCTCAACGCTGTCAGTGTCACTGTGGTTGTCGCTCTCGTGATCGCTCTTTTGGCCTCGCTCCCTTTCCTTCTTGCGCTCTTCTTCACCTGCCTTGCTAGCATATTCCCACGCGGTACGACCACGATTATCTTCCCACTCTGGATGGATCCCGGCAACGTTGGTGAGGAAGTACGCCGTGTCTTTGGTAAGACGACCGTGTGTGGCAGCGTAGTGAATTACGGTCCGTCCATTATAGTCCCTCGCCGCTAGGCTGACATGGTGCATGTGAAGGACTTCCAGTAGGTCTAACCTAAAGTTAGACGATGCAGCGAGCAGGTGTCCAAGGGTTCCCCCTTGTTGGTCGAGAGATGACGCAATGTAGTGGAACGAAAGAGCCGATCTCAAGATGTCCAAGTCAATTTCCCAGGCAGACTGCGTAATATAGCTTCCTATAGGTGACATTCCGGAGTCATCAAGCTGGGCACCGTCCGCACCCTGATCAAGTAGCCAACGTATCTTCTCGCCCTGGATTCTGTCGCGATCAAAAAAGGTGTGGTGTAGCACATTTTGCCCATACGCATCCCTCGACGTTATTAGGTTGACTGCTCTTGCTTCTTCGGTGTCGAGAATGGCGATCATGGTATCTCGATTTGGACTTTGGGCTGCGTAATGGAAGGCATTGAGACCATGCATGTCGGTCAATGTCACCTTCGCACCCATACTGAGCAGTGCTTCGACTGACTCAAGATCGCCAGCTTTGCTAGCAAGATGTAGTGGGGTTTGCTGGCAAGAGTTACGGCACGAAAGATCCGCGCCTCTGGATATCAACTTGCGAATGGAAGCCGCACTTTCCGGTTCGTTGTACCGGATGCAGTGTAACGGGGTATCCCCTTCGCGATCCCTCACACTAAGAGAGATATTGGGACTTGCTAGCAATGCATCGATCACATTCCCACGTGCGAGACCGACACCAGACACATCCTGTGTAAGAGAACGACTTTCGGGACTTTGCATTGCAAGCCGATCTTCTACCCTGAGAGATCCATTGGTCCAATCATCAGCGTACGTCGTTCCAGATAGTGTTGTGCGCAAGGTAAGATGTAAAGGGGTTTCGTCGTACTCAGAAAGAGCATTAGAATCAGCGCCATGCTCAAGAAGGAACCCGACCATGGTAGCATCGCCGATCAAAGCTGCGAAGTGTAGAGGAGTTAGCCCGCGTGTACTAGTTGACGAGACTGGAGTAATAGCTTGGGTTGTAACGGGGTCTAATTTGCCAACTCTGTGTGGCCATGCTCGCCGACGAACCCTGATGTCAACCGGAACCCCGGCGTCGAGGAGTTGCGTTGCAATGGCTCTGTGGCCAAACTTTACACAGTAATGCAACGGCGTCATATTATCGACGTCGGTCGTGTCCAAGGGAGCACCATGTTGTTGTAACATTTCAGCCATCGAGGCTGTGCATCCTGTACCGCTGACAGCATGATGTAGAGCACCCTTTAGTTGCTTGTCCAGACCAACGTAGGCACCTCTTTCGAGGAGAGTCCTGGTCGTATCTTCATGTGCGCGTCCGAGTGCAGCACGCAATATGCTACGGTATTCTCCACCAGTCGCGTTGACGTCGGCGCCCGCGTCAATCAGCAGCTTCACTACTGACGTGTGGCCGTTGGCTGAGGCTGCCTGCAACGCGGTGCCGTACGATCCGCCCCGCGCATTGACTCTGGCATTCTGTTTCAGCAGCAATGTGACAATTGTATCGAGGCCCAGCAGGGATCCGTAATAAAGGGGCGAGGCTATACTATCCAGCTTTTTCGACAGATTTGGTGAACTTTGGAGGTAATCTGGATTGTAAAGGCGGATCCAAGTGAGAAATCCTGCTGTCTTCGTGCTGAACAGACTCATCGCTAATCGATTCACTTCTTCCGTCTTGTCTACTATTTTCTGAAGATGGCGATGCCAGAACTCTGCTGAGTACCGTGCGAGCATATGATTTTCTAGGAGATGTTGAGTGATTGGATACTGGTACTGACTCAAGTACCCCAAGCAACCTTTGGCAATCGCTTCGTGACATTCCTTCTCCTGCATACTAAAATGCTTTGCTGGCCCATGCTTGATTCGGTCTGACACAAGATACTCCTGAACTGAGTAGTGTGCTAGAGTGATGATCCGCTGGGAAGGCCTGTTCAACCATTTCACCTCTTTTGTCGAAAGAGTGACCAGGCTAGAGCATATCTCCAACGCTTCTAGTGGATCTACTAGCACCTCGTCGCGGTCGATCATTGGTTCTCGCGCCACGTCAATAGCGGCCACTTCAGCAACTTCTTCAATAGAAATCGGCCTGGTAGAAAAGGTCAACCACTGGAATATTCTAATCGCATACACGCGATCCACCTCGCGTATCGAAGCTAGGATACGGTCGTATGTCTCGTCTAGAGTCTGCGGTAATGCTGCGAGCGCCTGTCGTAACATCGCCAGATTGCGACACTTTGCTAGTGTGTCAAGCTGGCAGACAGCCCAGCGAAACCTGCACCATTGTTAATCACCCCTCATAGATATCGTGGCGACACACATACATCCCCCGGGCTCCGTGCATCAATGCTATCTCGATCTCTTGCATAGTATCCTGGTCCTTGTTCCATTTCGCCAGGTCCTGATCATCGACCAGCCGCTGCTGAACGTATCGTAATATGTCCTTGTCCACTACATCTTTCTGAAGACTGATAATGCCTTCTCTTGTGACATGATTGCCTAAGAACGTCTCGATATCCCGTTCTCTTCGGCTGGTCATAAGCAGATGCACAATACCGAGCTGCCACCCAATCAACGTCTCCAGTATGTCTGTTAGCTCTGTGCGTTTCGTACACTCATCGAGCGCATCGAGGACGATGTAGACATGCGTGAATTGTCGGATCACCTGCGGTGCGACATTGAGAAGTGCTGGCAACGATGGTTGCTGTTGTCCGTTTCCGCATGATGAAAACAACTCGTCAACTTCCTTAGGTATGGCGACCGAACACTGCAGAAGTTGACTGAGCAATGAATGAAGCATCGACTCTGGATCCTGTTTCTGTACATCTTTGAAGTCAAAGTAGAAGTATACCGTGACTTCACGAGCATCTTCATCGCAGTGCTGCAGCAAATGCTCGATAATTGTAGAGCTTAGAATCGTCTTTCCGCACCCTGGGATCCCATACAGCCACATCCGCGACGCTTTGCCCTCTTTCCATTTCTTGAACTTTGCACTTTCTAGTATCCATAGTCCTGTCCCCGCTTGTCGCTGCTTGTGAGCTTTGTGATAATTCGTGGATGGATCGGGAGCCGAAACCCATTTGCGTATGTTCTGGAGTCTTGTTTCTCGGCCTCGTTCATCAGTCTCAGAATCGTCCATTGAGGCATCTGCGACATTCGGAGACCTTTCCCGAATGTTCCTCCTGAGTCGCCTCAACGCACTCTCTTTTCCCTCGCCATAAATTAGCGGTAAGTAGCAGTCGAGGATACCGAGAAGACAGTAGGCCCCATCTTCTTCGCGTGTGGTCTGTCGATCCCGTGCCCAAGAAAGGCGTTCGGCAACTTCGAATTTCGACATATCAGTTCCTGACAAAGCTTCGATAGGTATCGCTGTCACCTCATGGATGGTGTATTTGAGCGAGTCTTTATCTCCTAAACGTACCCCATCCTTGGAAAAGAATTCGACGGAATGCGGGGCTAGAAGCTCCTGAAGCGTCCAGCCCCGGGTAAACCATCTGCTCGTTCTGAAGGCTGCCTTCCATGTTGCGGACGGTCTCCAATCTTCCTTCGAAGCCTTCCCCTCGACATCTGCTAGGAAAGCATAGCACTTGTCAGCTTTTTGATACCAGCGAAACATAGAGTTGATCGCCTCGGATAACTCTGTGTTGTTTGCCTTGTCAATGCAGCAAGTATCTACCCAGAAATGTTCTAGGCCATCTGACTTTGCCTGTTTTGCGCAGAAGTGAAGCTTTTTCCAACCGTCTCCTCTTGTTGCGATCGCTGCATCCACGACCGCAAGGTTTTGACTACTAGTAAGGTTTTTCACGTCGTCAAAGACCACCTCTTCATCCCCCCAGGTGTGCGACAGTATCGCATAAGGAGGTAGATCTTCGACGCGGATGATGTCCTTTGTGAATCTGAAGTGTCCATCGCTTGTCGTGTACAGTAGCCGCATCGCATCGGATTTTGGACGCACGCGTACGCGCGCAGAGGGACAGTCAGAACAACAGGCTCGCGCAAGGTATGAAGATCGTATGGAGTTGTTACTTAGTACGGGTGCTAACAGCGGCCTGCTAAGTCAGTGTAGAAGTCAAAAAGGCTGACAGCCCCGCCACTGATCCTTGGGGCAGGTTGCATCCTCACCACCCACCCATAGCAGGAGGCACAGCCCGCCTGCAGCATGCAGGTGACGTCCAATGAGAAAGGCGGGGGAAGGCTGAGATAACATCATCGAGCGACAGCGTCATATTGCAGAACAAGAGGAATGAGAGAGTGCAGCCGAGAAGTGTGGATAGTACGATGCGCGAGATGGTGTTGTCAAAGGTTAGTAGTGAAGTATTCGAGCGTTCCTGCTGGAGTGCTCGCGGAGACAGAGACTTGCCAAGGCTCGTCACGTGCCATCAACTAACCACCTGGAGCACCGTGAACACGCCTAGAGTCCATTGAAGAGCAGGGTATCGAACATGATGAAATTGAATAATGCCAATAAACACGACTATACTCTAGCCCTTACGCTCTCAAAACACCCAAACGCCCAAAATCGCCCAATCGAAAGCTTACGATATACGTACAGTACGATACCAGCCCAAACAGCAAGTAAAACACACCCAGCTCACGCCGAGCCTCAAGTGCCGCTGAACCCATATGCATCTCGCATCTACGCACCACCAGCCCGTCCCGTCGTAGTAGCACTACTAGGCTGATCATTATTCCAAGTCAAATACGTATGATCCCCCAACTTGCGCGGCTTGATCAGATGCGTAGCCAAGAACACCGCTCCGAGCAAGATGCAAATACCGCCGACAACGAGGTATGCGATGCCGAGGAAGGGGTTTTTGCCGCCCATGACGGTGCGCGTGGAGATGAGGATGGATTTTGTGCCGCTGTATTTGTCGACGGGGTAGCCTGGGGGAGGTTAGTGGGATTTGTAGGTGGGATGAGAAGGGAAGAGGGACGGGAAGGGAAGAGAGATGGAGAGAACATACGGTCATAGATCTTGAGACGGTAGGTACCAGCAGTCAAAACATCCTTGTCGTTGCGCTGGTACAATTTACTGAAGGTAGGCAGACCCGCGGTCCTCATCCACACCTGGAATTGCTCCCAGGTATGTAGGTTCGGCAGCTTGTCGCCGTAACGCCCATTCTCGTATTGTTCCTGCCAGTTCGGCGGTGGAACAACATCCTCAGGCTTGTACTTTGTCTCGCCGTAGAGATCACCTTCGTGGCTCCACGAAGTTCCCTCCACAGTCATGGTGTAGTTCTGGCCACCGGCATTTGTTCCACCCGCGGGGTTGGCGAGCGTCAACTGGCTGAATGTGTCGTTGAACATGGAGTTGGCGATGAGACCGCAGGGGTAGTACGGTTTGCCTGTCTCAGAGTCTACGTCCAGCGGCGAGCAGTCGCCCGAGCTGAGGTCGCTCGCACTGCGGGCATCGCCCTTGAGTTGTTGGATATCGACGGATTTGACGTAGCGGCGGTGGTTCTGGTAGAAGTTCGTGAGGCGGTAGTAGAACAGAATCGGCGGCTTGATATCTTCCGGGATGTTGAAGCTGAGGATGCACACGTTTGTCTCTTGCACAACGCCGGATTCGAAAGTGTAGTCTTCGCGGCCCCAACCCCACATCGCCTGGGGGTCTTCCTTGGATCTGAAGGTCGCGGACACTCTGCCGCCGGGAATTGGGTCGAGCGGGTTTTCGGCATTGGGGTCGAAGTTTACGGGGACTTGGGGCGCGGTGCTGTTGCAGTTTGTGTAGTCGATTGAGATCTCCTGGACCTGCGCGCTAGCATAGAGAAGCAACCCGCCGATGGGGGCGAAGATAACTCCGACGATGAAGAAGAGAGGCAGAACGGTCTTCGGCGTTAAGATGGGCCTGATGCGCGGTTAGTCGTGGGTATTGCCTTCTGCCGCCATAATTCCACCTACTGCCATGCCTTCAAGCGCTGCTGCCTGAATGCAGTATCTAGTATCCCATCAGCACTGTCCTCCCTCGCGCATGTCCATATCAGGCTTACTCGGCGGCCTCCTGCTCTTGGTCTTCTTCGGCTCGTCGCGGCTGGGGTCCTGGCTGCTGATGGAGTCGGTATGCTCGACCTGCTGTGTGCGCGACATGATGGGCGGTTCCGCGCGACTCGGCGGAGTCGATTGGTGGAGTGAAAGGTAGTCGTCGCGGGCGGGAGGAGTCGTGGGAACGCGCGGGTTTGAGGTCGGCCAAGCCGTCGTCCCAAATTAGTGACAGAGCAGCCGCGCCACGCCTGCACGCCTGTGGAGCTTACGCATCCCCGCCCGAGACCCTGAGCCTTTCACGGACGTATCACGGACTCGTCATTGCAGCAGCATCGCAGTACGCCATCAATTCATCAACGCATAAGTGATCATGTAAAGGCATTGCGGAGAACATTCATTTTATGTGAGATAGTGCATTCTGGTCTAGTACTAAATATGATAGAAAGCCTGCATTTGCGGCGACAATGTCCATCCGGGACTACAACATTCGTTGGTGGGAGCTGAGGGGTATCGCATGCCGTTAGATAAAGAAAAGGAAAGTCGAGAAGCCCAAAAACGCCATGAGGGAGGACAGTATCCACTCCCGAACACCTGTTCATGCCAACAGTAGTATCCATGAAAACCCATCGAAACGCCGTTCGTAATATCATGCGGAGGAGGACATCCATCACTCCATGTAAATCATACCAATCTTATCCAAAGAAAACGAGCCCAGTCGGGTGGGCCGCGGGATGCAAAGTGCAACTTGATGCATCGTAACCAAGAAGAGTAAAAAGAATGAGTAAGGCTATGCGATGCGGGCTCAGAGGTACTGGCGGAAGTAGTCGGGGTTGAACCAGCCTACACGGTCATATGACTGCCAGAGTTTGCTAGCCTTGTTGACGTCAATCTTGCACGCCTGCTGGGCATCTGTCTTGCGGAACTCTTTGCCAATCTTGAGAGCCTCGATGCGGGCCTGGAAGATGCGTCGCTTGCTGGTGAGGTAGGTGGCGCAGTTGAGGCGGAGTGTGCCAGCGAGGTTCAACTCAGCCTCGTGCAGCAGCTCGCGATCGGGATCGTCGGCGAGCGAGAGCGCTTGCCCTTTCCACTCAGCCTTGAGCGCCTTGGTATTGCCCTTGGGCAGTGTGTCGAGGGGTGGGGCGTAGTCGGGAATGGCAGTGTAGTCAGAGTCGTCGCGGTTGGTGACTGGCCGTGCCGGCTTGGGAGAGGCTGACTTGGTGGTGGGGGAGGTGTCGAATGAGTCGTGGATCTGAGTAAGAGGCGTGCGCTTAGCCTTGGGTGCGGCACGAGGGGCGCGAGCAGGCAGCCGTGCAACAGCGACCTTGGGTTGGCGGAGTTTTGAAGATGGCGCCGGGGCGAGCTTCTTCAAGGCTGGCCGCTTCTGCACACGGCCACTGCGGACCTCGTCGATTTGCTTGTCGAAGGCGCGTTCTTGAGCCCACCATGCCTTGGGGTTGTTGCAGGCCTCTCTGAAGACGATGGATCGGACTTTGGCAACCAATTCGTAGTCAGCGCGGCTCGGCTTGCTCTGCAGTTGTGCATAGTCTTTGGTCTTCATGTGCGCGGTGATGACATCTTGCGAGGCTGACTCGGGTGACTCGTCGGGGAACAGCGGCATGTGAGCAATTGGCGCCGCTGCATCAGCCGAGACGAACAGCTGGGGATCGCGTGTGCACTGCTCCTCTGAGCTCTCCATGTTCTCCTTCTGTGCCTGTGTGTCGTATGGGGAGATTGGCGGGGAGGCGTAGGCGATGCGGTGGGCGGCTGCTGCCTGGATCGCCATGAAGTCGGTCTTCACAGCAGATTGTGAGGGTGCTGAATTGAAGGAGGAGAAGGGTGATTGAGAGTAGGCAGGCGGAATTGACGTGCCAAACGACTCTGATCGCTTCATTTCAGGGGGCGAGAGGAGGGAGGAAACGGTGAGCCGATTGCTCGGGGGCGTCTTATAGTGCAAGTTTGCCATTGCGGTGTGGTGCGGTGCGAAAGTTTGTCCTTTGGTTAAAGCGCAACGTCGGGGCGGTAGCGATATATGAATGTGTCCAGGCAGCCACTGGAGCGTGGTGCGTTGGTAATGCGATCAATGGTAGAGTATGAGTGGAGGGTAGGAGCCTTGGTTGAGCGAACGGCTTCGCCACAGTTATGCTGTCAGGTGTGCCCGGGCGCAAACGTGACCGTGGAAGCCGGCAGAATGGTCCGACCGACTGCTTATACCAGTTATGCGAGCGGGCAATTAGTCAGGCAGTCGTGACAATTGAAAAAGCAGTGCGGAGTTAGGACGATTGAATTGCGTGGTAGGTTAGTCGTCCCGAAACAGACGGGGTGAGCGGGCTGGTTATAAGAAGCACCACCCAGGCGCGTCGGGGGTTTCAGTAGGCTACAGGATGGACAAGGCCAGTGTGACTGTCCTTTGAGACACTGCGGCCCATGTGCTAGCGAACCAGACAAAGAGGGTGTGCGGTTGGCGCGTGCCAGCAGGCTCTCATCCTCCCAGGCCAGGCATCATCCATAAGAGGAGCGCCAGTTGCGCGCGGCCGGCAGCTGACGAATGCGGGCGGCCAAGAAGTGAATAGAAGGAAGACGAAGGGGGCTCCAATGAGAGCGGCCAATTGCGCAGCGACGCGTGAGGCGGAGCTGGGAGCGCGCAATGCTCTCTGACTGTCTGAGAGATTGAGTCACTGCACAGGCGATTACCTGTCGCTCCGTCCCAGCAAACCGGGCTAGTCCATCGGGGCCGAATGAACCGTCCCCATCGCATCGTCACATCATCACTGCGCTCCAGGGCTACATACACGTTGCCTGCCCTCATTGCGCCCTGGATGCAGCGACTGAGGCCTGGTAGTATGTCATTGGCACCCGATTGCAGTCAATTCCCAGTTCTCCCAGCCAGCGTGTCACCGCAGCGCCCAATGGCGACGGTAGCGTTCCTAATCCCCATTCCCTCTCCAGATCGCTTCCGGTGGACAGTGTCCGAGTCACCGCTTCCGTCATCGTTCCTCGTACTACGCTATTGTGCAGTCTGACCGCCGTCGATAATGCAGAGATGACTATCCCACATGCTCCACATTCCAGCAATTGACCATCATCGACGCACCAATCGACTATGCTTGACCCTGCGCTTGACCTGCGCTTGACCTGCCAGAGCCCAATTCACTTCAACTGCCTTTCGCGGCCAGTGGCGGCCGAATTGAGTGCTCATTTGCATGGATCTAACCCCCCCTCCGTCAGCGGCGGCTACCGAAGACAGGCTGCTCACCGAGTTCTGTGGAATGGCGGTTCCCGTTCATGGTCTTGTGACATGGACACCATCAAGCGGCTGTAGTCAACGCCACTGGCGTGGAGCTGCAAAGGACCAGCGCCGACTAGAAGGTTCACTCAGGGCAGCTCATGTCTCGCAGCGGGTAACATGCGATGTGTGCGTCGTTAGCCCACTGCGGTACGTTCCCGCCATGTTATCGATTACCACTCGTCCTTGCATGTGAAAGTGAGCCCCGTGCTCAGCTGGTCAAATAACTAGGTCATCTACACCATGACGCCTGTCCACCTGAACACCTCCCACGCTCTCCGCACACCGTCGCTCACGGGGCAATGAGGCTTCACACCATCTTCTGTTTGGTCGAGGTCATCCTTCGGAAACCCGGGGTGTCTTATCGTCGTTATCGTGCTGTGGGGGAGGGGTATGCCAGAAACCCCTCAACCCTCATCTCTCGACGGCGCTGTTACCGCCAGGCCTGCCATCTGACCTCAGCCGCCTGATACCGTCTCTTGCCTTGAATGCCAGCCATGTCAATCTCCCAGGATATCGCTTCCGCTGTACCCCTCACCATTTGCGCCGACGAGCGCGGCCCAGACCGATGCCGAGTAGGTTCCGCGGACAAAGCAATGTGATCCTGACTCAATAGACTTTGAACTTCTCGATCATGGCGCGGTTTGCACAACTCAATCAATAGTCTCTCGAATCGCGACACCAGACACCACAGACTGTCGCAGTCCGTCTAGAAGCCTGGCCGCGCCTTCTGCGGGTAGATCTGCGCATCAAGGTGCCAGCCCGAATCTGGTCAGCCGATAGGACAATGCGAGCAGATGACTTGCTGCCCCGTCTTGCGAGTTCCCACTACGCCCAGCACCATGGGGGACCCTGCATCTGTAATGCTGGTAAACCTGCCACCCATTCAACGACAACAATGGCGAGCTGCAGGACCTTGTTTCATGGCTTTGGCCAAAAGTGAAGGCTGCGCCGTCCTTTGATTACCACGTTGCGAAATGGCGTCATGGGTGCTTGCTGCCAGGTCCGCCCTGCATCAAAACAAATGCGAGGCTGCCGGAAATAGACTGTCTCGCCGACTGTCAGCTGCAGGCACATTAGACTTGGAGTTGAATTGACCAACAATCTCGCAGTTGGCGTAAGCAGGGCTGAGGGCAAGTAGAGCAGTAATGACGCAAACTGTATTTGCTTCACCGCTTCGACACGTGCGCATGAGATCGAGATTATCGCATTCAATTGCTAGGAGTAGTCAGATCAAGTTACATGTTATGGCATTGACGGTTTCACGTGCCCTCGTGGACCTCGCCCCGCGCTTTCCCGCGCTCCCGTCGCGACTGCCTCAGCCTTGACTCAATCCACCAATCCACCAATCCATCAAATTCCCCACATACGTCATCTTCAATTCCACCCAACACCATGCACTCATACCATTGCGCGTCACAATGGCATCGCCAATATCGCCATTGCCTTCTAGCCGTCACTTCGTAACGCAATTACTCGATTCGCTGGCCGCTCCGCCGTCAATTGACCAAGCTACTGCCAACACCAATGCCAATGCCAACACCAACCCGCTCAACAATGTATCAGACGCGACGAGGAAACAGCTGCTTTCGCTGCAGGTACTCTTTCCGAATGAGTTTGTGCCAGCACTGGACCTCCTCGATCGACGACTCGTGACGCGGTTTCGGATATGCGATGGAGAGGAATTTGCTGCGCGGGCGACTGGTGCGGAGCAAAGAGATGCAACAATAGCGCAAGATGTACAGATGGAAGACACAGAGGCAACATCGCCATCACATCACGAAGGCACGCAGACCGAGAAACCAGACACCCATGCCCAGGC